GGAGGGGGGGGCGGGAAGGGGGAAGGTAGCAGGGAGTACTTGCACACGCGAAGTACATGGGCACACGCTCTCGCTCGCTTCTACGGATGTATACGTAGGGACGTGGGCACCAACACGCCCGTCTGCGTTCTTGCCACGTACCTTGGGCGTGGTGCTTCCTTTTTCTTCCTCCTCGCCGCGACTAACGTGCCCGATCTCTCCTCATTGGCCCCGGGAATGCGAACACGTCGAAGCGAGATTCGAAAGTCGCGGGAGGGAAGCGCGAGTACACCGAGTGAATTCGAAATTTTGCCCGTACTCCTGGTACATCGTGGGGAGGATGCGACGTTAACGTCCTCGTAGAAAGAGAGAGACTTTTTACTATTTCGTCGAAAATAGGCACGACTCGATTTAGGAAATAAAGACTCGTGGCATCGCAAAATGGATTAAAAAATATTTACTTACATTTAGTACTATATTATTTGTTCTATATATAAAATTCATAGCAAAAATAAATTTTACGTTTTTTATATAAGAATCATTATATAGATACAATTTTGTATTTAAAGCAAGCTTTATACAAATTATTAAGCCGCGTACAGTTTTGCTATGAAACTATTGCAAAGAAGCTCGTAAGTAGAAATCACGGAGAAAATTATAACAATAAATATGAAATACGAGTACGAATTAAAGACGTCTCGCGATCAAATTCTGTCATTGAATTACCGAATGAAAATAAATTACGCATCGGAAAACTGCCGCGAAACGCGTTCAAGGTCCTCGGGGATTCAACCACCGCACGCGCGTCACGTAGTTGAGCACGCGATACAACTTCGCGGAAAAGCATCGCACACATCATCGAAAACGCTGCTCACATAGTAGATGTACGCACGGGTAACTATTATTCATGCATGAATGCATCCGCGAACATAAGTAACGTACACCGCGCGCGTCCACTACCGTTCATCGTTGTCCCAGTATTGAGATGCTCTCGTAAGAATTTACGGAGAGAGAAAAGAAAAAAATATTAGTAAATTTTTTAGTACGGGGCACAGAAAAGGTATGTAAAATCATGAGAATCTGCAAACTAGATTTTCAGACCAATTTACGAGTCAGACTTATTATGAATTAATTTAAATCTTGTATCTTTACGATGTGCATCATTGATATCTTACAAATGTGCACGATTACAAGTGTCATTTGTCGAAGAAAGAAATGTTTGAATATCGAATATTTGTGTCCTTATATCATCTGATTATAGAATGATTTTACAATTTAAAGAGAGGTATTGTATACGTATGTTAAAAATTTTTTAAGAATATTACATATACTGAAGAAAAAAGATTTTATATTAATGGCGTTATTTTAATTGAAAATAATTTCGTTAATTCACATAACACTATTTGAAACAAATACATCATACTCTTCCATAAAATTTTATTTAATAAATTTAAATGACTATACATAGGTGATATATAAATTCACATTGAATTATTTAAAATTCTTGTTTAATAAAATTTTATTTGTTTCATTAATATTGTTATTGTACGAGTCAATAAGATTATTTTCAATTAAAATAATACTGTCGATATAACATTTTTTTTCGGTGTATAAGTATAAACTCTTATAAATTCGATCTTTAGTTTTCGTAATCCCAAATCGAGTGCAAAATTACTTTATGTCAACCGATTTCCAATCTTTCATGTAAAAGATTGCTAAACACGCTGCAGCGCAAACCACGTGCATATGCGAGATGCATGAAATGACGTTGGGTTCGGAGAACCTTGATCGTATCCGTTCCAGGAGAGCGAAAGAGAGAAGCGGATTAGCCCAGATCACGTTCTTAAGATCCTATATTATATCCACTCTCTTGACCAGTCCTCCGTGTATCTTTCTCTCTCCCGACTATAAAATCATTACGCGGTTTTTCTCCCTTTTTCCGGCTACCGCCGTGACACCGACTTGCGAAATGCGTCCTCGTCTTCGTGGCAGACGTCGATCCGCCGATAACCGGGCGTGTATGTCTCCGTTCTGTATGTATATCTCCACCTTTCCCTCGTCCACCTTTCCCGCGCATTTATCAGCGTCCATTTATCTGCCTATCACTGCGGTCGCCGTATACACACATAACACAACACACACACACCGGCAGTCCGTAAGCCTTTCGTTCCGTTATCAGACCAGATGTGTTAGATAGCGGACATAGTTTCTCGCCGGGGAACAATGAATCGGATAATTAATCATGGGTATGGTGTATCGGATCACCGGGGTCACCGCCGGCCCAGCAATAAATCGTTGAATTTATGAAAGTGTTATTTATTGAATAAATGTGGCGGATATACGAGATGCTCGAGCGATTTATTATGTAATACGCGAGAGAGACGATGCTGATCTGTATCTCGACACATTTTAGATTTCGTTCTTTTCCCAGATTTTTGTTTACCAATTAATTATTGGAATTTATTAAGCTAATTGCTTACATGTAATTCGATTTGACGGGCGTAACGTAATCTTACATTCCAAAATTAA